CAAGGCCATTGCGATGGCTGCTAGTTCTGCTGTGTATGGGTTCTGTTCCTCCCTCGTGCCAAGGGTTACAGCTAACCTTGTCACGGGCTCGCTGGTCCTGTTGAAGAGGGTGTCTCGTGCGATGCCACCAACACCGACAATGCCTCTCTTCACGGATGCGCTTGTGCAATCACGATGCCCATGGCTCCGTTGGCCATCTTGGTCGCCTTCTCTCGGTCAGCTTCGATCGTCGGCTGTAGGCGAGGTGCCCAGGGAGCGATGGCGTATTCTTGGATTGTTTCCATTTGATCGACTTTTACACCTTCCGCGATACTGGCGATCTTTTGAAGCTGGGAGACGAATCGCACTGTTTTCCAGATCTTCCTGAGCGCGAGGGGATGAGTCCTAGGCAGAGTGTGGATGTTGATCCATAGCCTGGCTGCGGCCAGGGCATGTCGGTCTCGTATAGGGAGAATGCTCGCTTCGGCTTCTGCTACCGCTGTCGCCACAGTCCAAAAGGCTCCTGTGATTGCTAGGGCACCAATTTTCTGTGCCCTGTTCAGCCAGCTTAGTGCCTTCTCTCCACACGCATGCATCCAGACGCTGGCCGCGTAGTCCATGACGGGAGCCACCATCGCTACAAACAGTTGTCTTGCTGTTCGCGGGGAAAGCATCTTCAGCCTCCTCAGGGCCAAAACGGCTGTGAGACTCTTGGTTGCCGTCTTGTCAATGTGCTTCTTGTAGCGGAGTTCGCAGTCCATTGTCACTTGGCTAGAGTGTAGTCGCTCTTCTCGGGCTTCTTCAGTGGAATGATCTTGGCATTCCTCCACTGATTAGGGATGTCGCCATCTCGAAGTGAGGTCTGAAATAGGAGGAGCACTCTGTCTTTGACAACTGGCCAAAGCTGTCTCCATACCATTGCTGGCAGGCCGTCCTCCCCAGGTGCCTTCCATGGTTTAGCGGACATGACCCTTTGTTCCACCTCTTCCATCGTTAGATCCGGCATGTCTACTGGTGCCCGGTAAGGGCGTTGTCCCTCGTCTTCAATTCTGGCTGGCAGTGGTGGAAAAAAGGTAGCTAGTAGCGCTTGAGCCTGCTCTGCTTTGCCTTCCGTGACGGAGCCGTCTGGTCGGATAAGCGGGGGAATTTTGCCGCCCATAGTGCCACTGTCGGTTTGCAGGTACTTTGCTGCTTGCCTGATGTTCGCGTCATCGGCAAGGAAGCAGCGCTCCCAACAATCCAATCAATCCAATCCAAGCCTCATAATTGGATTGAATTGAGGCCTTTCTGAATAATTGATTGATTGCCGTCAAGGTAGTGCCCAACTACCGCCAATAGGGCGATGGAGTTGGATGATGTCCATAGGTCGAAAGAGAGGTGTTTCTTGAAGGCCGGAGCTGATGCTAAAGATCGCTTGAGCAAGGCGAATTGTTGGGCGAATAGGTCGTCTACCCACTTCCTCACTGTCGACCCAGACTCTGGTAATAAGGAAGCAACCTTCTAGGCGTTTAACTGCATCAACAGACTCCGGAAATGAGAGTTCTGGACGACTGAAAAAGATAGGGTAGAATCGACGATCCAGTTGAGCATCGTCTCCCTAAACGTCTCTGAGGTGCTCTTCAATATAGGAACTCGAAGTGCGTGACTCGCTGTAGCAACAGACCGTAACCCAGCAGCCAATCGTACGCGTTTGCTTGGACCTCAACACTGCTGTTGATCTCTTCGGCATCACCAGCTGTTTCGGTAATCCTATGGGACTTCTTCAGGTGTTGAGCAGCAGCGCTTGTAGCCTGGGAGTTGAAGAAGTTGGAACACAGCTCACAACACCAGAAAGAGCCATCAGCCTTGTCCCCTTGTAACCGCGTGAGCCAGATACCGTGTTTCCCAGACATACCATCGCTGTCGGGATCAGGCTCGAGAGGGAGAGGAACTTCTTTTTATCTGCCCTTTTTGACCGCGGTACTTGTCAGCTCAATCCAACAGAAAATCGGTTTTTTCGGAAGGTGAGCCGCCCTGCCAAGGGAGCGCGAGATGGCGGCGGCGGCGCAACCTGAGGCAGTGATCGAGGTGGCCGACCGCCCACCGTCACCGAAACGATCGAGCCGCGCCCTAAAACCGAGTGCGAAAGTCCGTGAAGCGATGCAATCGCTGGAGGATGCGGCCATTACGTCGAGAAGAACCGCAATCAATGCTACACGAAGCACCGCATCGAGAGGAACACGCGTACTGGGAAGCGGGAGCGGAGCCAACGGCCAGGCGGAAGCGGGGAAAACAGCGCTCCAAACACTCCTAGAAGCAATCAACGAACAACAAAACGAGACGCGCGGGATAATTGCCGAACAACGGAACACAATCTGCGAACTGCGCGACGTGGTCAGCAAACAACAAGACGCGATTCAGCAGCTCTGTGAAGAGTTGAAACAAGCCCGCGACGTGGTCTACAAACAGCAAGACGCGATTCAGCAGCTCT